TGTCAGAACATCTGCTCGAAGCAGGCCTCATCGTCGAATCATCCACCCAGAAAGCTATACAGTACTCTGAGTGTGGATCTCTCCGGAAAGATGGTGGTGGGCCAAGATCAGAGCCGTCACGATTGCCGCTACATGATGATCGCGGTCTACACCTTCCCGGTGGACGGTTCGGGTCGCTCCTTGGTGGAATCGGTTGAGTCTTCGCGCATTGACTCACCACTTCTGGCTGCAGATGATGAGTACACCCCCACCCCGGTGGTGATGATCCTGGAGTGGACTACCTGCCGGAAGAGGCGGTTGGCCTGGAGGAGATTCCGGGGGAGGTGGCGGAGAACAAAGGACGAACTGCCTTTGATGCATGGCAGAAGGAGGTGGAAAAGGTACAGGACGTGACGGTCCGTAACCTCACGTTCGTGGAGGTTCTCCCTGGCAGATCAGTTCAACACATTCTGCCTGCTTTGGCTCGCATCTATGCTCGGTTGAGAAGTCTTGGATTGCCGTTGTACCGTCTCCATTGTGATCGAGCCCGTGAACTGATTTCTGCACCTGTTCGTCGATGGACGTTGGACAGGGGGATTGTCACTACTTTGACCTCCGGCAGTTCATACAAGTCCAACGGTCGGGTTGAGAGTGAGCTGGGGGTGGTAAAGAAACACATCAGGACAATCCTGGCCACCACGGAGACCGGTTTGGACAGTTGGCCGTTGGCTGCCATTCACATCGGTGAAAGAAGGCTTCGTGGCCAACTCAGGAGTCTTGGCATTCCCGTTGGCCCATTGCTCCAGTTTGGGGCCCGCGCCTTTGCCTTGAAGAAGTCTTGGCAAGACAGATATGAACCTTGGAGAAGAGCTCCGGGACGAGGTGATCGTTTTGGGACCAGCTCTTCAGTCTTCATTGACATCTACCTGCTATTACGTTCAGTCCGTGGAGACAAAACGATACTTCTACACCGATGACGTGGTGGTTCCACATCCTGATCAGCCTGAGGCGAGTGACGTTTTGGTGCATCTGCCGGAGATTGAGGGCGGTGACGTGCCTTCACGACCTTTGTGGGATGGAAATGTTCCCCGACGTCGCCTTCGCGAAAAAACAGCAGTTCCTTCCATGTCCACGTTGCGCATGGAGGGGGAGATCAGCAGCCGTGTTCAAAATTGGCTGTGCACTCACCGTGACGTGTTTGATGTCCACGCCCCAAATGATGCTGAGCTGTTCAAGGCGGAATGGAGCAGTGACAGTTGGACCATCGAAACTCCATCAAAGACTTCATCCAGCGCTGGTGAAGGGGACTCCCAGGGTGCCGAAAAAGAAGAGGTTTCCATGGAGGAGGATCCAACCGGCAGAGGGGATGTGGAGGAGGCGCCTAATAGCCAGGACGGTGGCTCAAGCCTGGCAGCCTCAATTAAGAAAATGGCACCTGGGAGGACTCCGTTCACCAAAGTCCAATTGCTCCAATTTGTGCAGGCCAACTTGGCGGAATATGTCAAGGAGGAGATGGGCCACTTGGACATTACCAACCTGGAACAGGGTTGGTATATGGGGGCTTTGTCGGAAGCCATCATAAGGAAGGTGGAGTTGGAAGAGCAGCTTCTCCAGAATCATCAAGAACAGGAAGCACTCAATGGCAAGGAGCTTGAAGAGGAGTTCCTGGTCACCAAGACCATCAGTAACCGAGAGGTCATGGAGGACTTTGACAACTGGGCGCCAGCTATCACAGCAGAGCACGGGCAGTTGGTCACCACAAAGCAGGCGGTGGAGCAGATCACCAAGGAAGCTTTGAGGGTTCGAGCAGCCAGGAAGGGAAGACAATAGAATTGCTCCCAGCAAAGATGGTGTACACCCGAAAAGCGGGGACAGGTGCTTGAAGGGCTCGGGCTGTGTGCTGCGGCAACTACTCAGAGACCAGGTTCGACGAGGATTGCTATGCTGGAGGTGCTGACGGATGTCAGGTGAGGGCGTTGGTGAGGACCGCGGCTCTCAAGGATTGGAGAATAGCAGCCACTGACACCCGGGTTGCTTTCTTGAACGCTCCTCGTCGTGAAGATGGCAAATTGGTTGCAATGGAGATCCCGGCAGTGTATCGCCGCTTAGGCTTAGCCAAGGAGGGCGAAGTTTGGCTGGCGCGCTTGGCCATGTACGGCCTTACAACATCCCCCAGAGACTGGTCACAATACAGGGATCGCACCTTGCCGGTTGTCAGTTGGGTCCGGGTGAGGATGGAAAACAATCAGGCCAAGAGAGTCAGAGGCCACTTCATCAAAACGGAGGACGAGAACCTGTGGAGGATTGAGGAGGTCGACATTGAGTCTGGTGTGACGCACTGGACTGGGTTGATGTCCGTCTATGTGGATGACATCTTAGTTTCGGGTGAAGAAGCTACCGTGAAAGTCGCCCTAAGTTCTCTGCAGACCACATGGACCACATCAAACATTGAATGGGCCTCATCCACCTCAGCGGTTCACTTCTGCGGTTTTGAGATTGCCCCGGATGAGGGGGGAGATGGATTTCACATAGCTCAGAACAAGCATGAGCAGGAGATCCTGTCGCGATGGAATGTCAGTGCTTCAGTGGCCTTTCCAAACTTCAAGACCAGCGAGGGTGACAGTGAGCAACAACCCGATGTGGACCGAAACCAGGTCCGCGAGGCACAGGCCTTAGCCGGTTCTTTACTCTGGCTATCGACGCGGGGTTGCGGCTATCAGCTGACTTGTCAGCCGGAATCCAGCCAAGGCGGTTGAGATCGGGCATGGACTCCTGGCCTATGTCAAGGGCAATCCAGGCGGTTTGCGCTACCCCAAGCACATCAAGAACAAGTGGGGTGCCAGAGATCAGTTGAAAGCGCAAAGACATGATCGTCTGCTGGAGGTGTTCGCGGACATCGCGTACGGCACTGGCACCGGCTACAAAAGCGTTCAGGGCTTGGTGCTCTGTTTCGCGGGAGCCCCTATTGCATGGCAGAGCTCCACCCAACCTTTCGTATGCCATAGCACGGCAGAAGCCGAACTGGTTTCGTACTGCGAAGCTCTGACCGCAGGAAGAGCCACTGAGGCCTTACTATGTGCTATGTGGGGGGAGCCGCTGGCAGCTAACTCCTTCGAGCGGGTGATCTATGTGGACAACGCTGCAGCAATTGGGCTTGCTCATGGAAACAGCAACACGTCATGGCGGACGAGGCATTTGAGAGTCCGCTCGAACATACTTCGAGAAGCCCTTGAAGAACAGAACTCTTACCCCGGTGGCCCATGGAAGCTAAACCATCTCAAGGGGACGGAGTTGGTGGCGGACGGCGTGACAAAGCCATTGATGCATGGGGCAAAGTTTTGAAGGCTTTCAACGTGATCTGGGCATGAAGAGTGGGGTCCAGGTCAAGAAGATGGATGGCGGCATTTCGACGCCTCAGACACAAGATCCTCAAATCGCTCTCCGTACCTTGGTGGTGGGTAGTCTTCTGGTGAGAGTTGCTGAGGCACAAGGAGATCAAGAGATGGACGAAGCCTTTGGTCGTATTTGGCTGTGTGGCTTGGTGCTGGTGGTGATTGGGGCAATATGGGTGGCGAAAACGTTGTGTACTTCGGTGCGCTGCTGTCTCCGCCGATTGCATGTGCTGCCTAGCAGGCCTAACAGCCTCGAGGGTGAACTGGAGGCGGAGGAGAAAGTTTTTACTACTTCCTTGTGTTTGAAGCGGCAGAGAACGAGGAGCTCTACTACAAGAGGGGAGGAGGCCGAAGATGATCGGAGCAGCCGCAGCTCGGTGACAGAAGAAGCCGAGAGCCAATCCTCCAGTGAAAATGAGGAGGAAGGGGCTGCGAACAGGGTCTGTGAAGTCGAACGGGCCCGTGAAGAAGAAGAAACTATGAGACGGCGGAGGTCTACGTCCAGTGGGGAAGAGGGAAAGCTGCGAGAGCTCAAGTTCACTGAGTGTTTCAAGTGAACGAGCCCTTCAAGCAGCTGAGAAGGCGGCTGAGAACGCCGAGATGGCGGCGCAAGCGGCCGGACAAGCGGCTGAAGGAGCCATGGTGGCAGGGCGAGCTGCTGAGCAGGCGGTTGCAGTATCCACACGACTGCGCCAGGTGATTTCGCGGCCTTCGCGTTCAAAGGCCTTGGCGGGTTCATCGTCAACATCCCACAGAGGAAGCCAGAAACGAGAGCCATCCCCTGCAAATCCATGGAACAAGTTCCAGCGAAACAACGCTGGGCGTGGTTGGTCTATGGAGACCATGCGAGCTGAACACTACAAGCTCAAGAGCCAGAGCCTAAAAGGCCGAAAGTAGAGAAATGCCTTGAGCCTACTTTTCCCGTTTAAATCTGTCCAAGAGACAGATGGGGGAGTCTGTTGAGCGTTGAGCGTGGTGCTAACACCATGATACATGACATACCACAGGCATTTGTTTCTCGAGTGAAAAAGGAGCGAGGGGATTCCTTTTGTCAAGGCTGTATTGGGGCCAGTATGGTAGTTGGTTGGCAGCGACGAGTGCCTATCAGAAAAGGGGCCCGTGTACATAGCAACTTGGTGGGGTGAAGAGATTGCTGTTTGAGGATGGGTTATAGTCACGGATCTGTGGAATACTTTTGGATGAGGGTTGGTGACACCAATGCTGAGGCATATAGTTAGTTTTCTGCCATCCTCCTAGTCATCCTTTCAGAGAAGTCTGGTTGGATGTATTGGGGCAAGTATAGTAGTTGGTTGGCAGCGACAAGTTGCTATCAGAAAAGGAGCCCGTGTAGATAGCAACTTCGTGGGGTGAAGAGATTGGTGTTGTTTAAGGACTTGTTATAGCCACGGATCTATGCAATATTTTAGGATGACGCTTGGTGACACTCATGTTGAAGCATACAGTGCCTGCCATCGTCCTAGTAAGCATGTGTTACTTGGATGGTTTCTTCTTTTGACCCTCTCGTCTGGCGGCTGCTGGCTTTCGTTCCCCCCTTCTCAGGTATATATATACATATGCATGTAAGAATATATTCAGGTTGCAACGGTCAAGTGAAGATTGCTTTCGCAGGCTGAAAAGTTGAGAGGAAAGAAAACCCTGCATCCGTTTGGAAAGCTTGAGAGGCATGAAGTTGTTTTTATGTCAAGATGATGTTGCAATGCCTTTTGATTGCCCAGGTTGAAGCTTGTACATGTATTGGATTTGGCGCCGAACCCGATTTGCCCTGTTTCATTTGCTGGACAACGGATGTGGTCAGCAAAGCTGAGGTTGAAGGTCCGGCACAAGCTCACGCTGGCAACCGATACTTGTGGGGACAGCTGGAGAAGTTGTTTTTCGTGGAGCTGGCTGGTTAATGATGCCAGGATGGTTGTCTCATGATAAGTTTTTCCGGAAGGTAAATGCCAAAGTGCTGTCGATGGGGGAGCTGGCACGTGTACTACATGCTTTTGGTCTAAGACATCTTGAAAAGCAGCCGACACAGCTTTACAATGCACATGACACGTATCATGGACGTACCAGTTGGGGACATGACTTGATCAAGGCGGAGCCCTCCGCCTATGCGCTTGCTGCACCTTGTGATCTTCCCGGTGAGGATTGAACAGATTCTTTTCGATGCGACTCTGACTTCAAGGCTTCCAGCCGCCTTCAAGAGGCACCGAAACATCCAAACGCAACTATATCGATGCCAATTCATGGAAACTATAAACATTGTTACATTGCCAATTCATTATGCCGCATCAATGAGTTGAAGTGTTTGCAGCTTTCCAGCTCCAGGTTCAAAGCTGCTCTCTTGCGGAGCTTGCCTCAGTAGTGAGGGCCTTTGGCATTTTCTCTGTGCGGGAGATGAAGTTGCTGAACAGCTGCTCTGCCGCTCTTCGTACACTTTGTCGGCAGGACTGCATTGTTTTAGATTTTGAAGCAGCATAACCTTTTGCATAAAGAAACAATTCAGCTAAGTTCTGGCTGCATAGGACCAAGATATGTCAGAAATTGAGCCCTGCGCTGAGTTGTTGCTGTTTTGTCAGTCCACACATGTGAACCTTCAAGGCCGGATCATGTCAGCCGGCTTTGCGTGGGCCTAGCAGAGCTGAGGAGCGGCTAATTCGAGGAATTTGTGTGGATGAGTTTGTGTGTTGGTGTCACTGTGTCGCCAGCAAAAGCAGTCGAGAGGTGGCCTGACCAGACTGCGCTGCAGTTTGTGATGCAGTTTGTTGTTGAGGCCTTATCTGAGGCCTGAAGAATTGTGAGTTCTATTTAAATCTAAGCATTCACGTTGTACAATGGCTTTGCTGGTGGATGTGAAGTTTGAAACTTGGAATTAGTATCAATTAACAGTCAGCATTCTATAGTACTACTGGGAAGGCGAAGAAGACTGATCCAAGGCCGATTTCGTTACTCTTCTGTTTCATTAAAAACAGGAAGCTTGGCTCAATCTGGGAGGAAGAAAGTGAACCTCTTCCAGATGCAAAGCTCCCAGTTGCCGTCAGAGTCAGTGCGACATGATCAGCATTTGCATCTCTAAGTCCAAAGTTTGAGCCTGAAGAGACTTTTCGCTACATCACTCAGGTCAGATCTGAATGTTATCAGTTTTCTATTTGCGCTGCTCCTGACTCGCCAGGAAGCTATTGTACATATTTGCGAGGCTTTTGCTGCCTTGGAGGCGTTGTGTACAGTGCACCCGTGCATGTGCCGCCATTGGCCATTGCTTGAGATCTGGCTAGGTTCATTCAGAGCCACTTTTTCGGGCAGTGGTGCAAGACGTCCTGCAAGGCAGGTGGTTTGGCGTGCAATGCAACTGACCGAGGGCAAATGAGATCCATGCGGCTGAGGTACTGACCGCAGGTCTCCACGTGCGTGGCTTCTTGGCACCAAACATTTCCAAAGTAGACAAGTTTGCATTGACATTCATGGATGGTAGGACTGCTGAGGAATTCGGGTGTACTCCTGGGGCGCCTTGCCTACAGCCTTGCAAGGCTCCAGCCTTTTATTTGCAAAATGACAAACAACAATGACAAACAACAAGGTGTGAACTTGACCTACACGCTCTATATACTGTAGAGCCTTTCTACTTTGTGTGAGCAAGTGAGATGGCTTCTACGACAATGACCAAGAGTTCATTTGGATGATTGGCTGGAACACTGAATTGACATCAATTATGCTAGACAAGTAATATTAACCTCGATAGGCGTAATATATATGTGTATGCAAGCTGACAGGAGAGACACTGTATGAAGGCTTCATTCAGAGCCATTTTGTAGGATCCCAACACATACGTTGTTTGTATTATTTGCTTTTCAACTGGGGCTATGCAGCTATAGTAGCTTCTGCAGAGACTCTGCTGCTGTAAAGCCATCGGACATGGTACCTTCATGTTTGATTACCTGCCATACAAGACGTATTCACAATGCAAATGTGAACAGGGAAGATGGTTTTTGTATAACACCGTTCTGTCATGGAATGAGAGGATGCTTCATTCATGCACCACAAGCAGAAGCTGTAAGCCTTCGTAGCCAGTGCTATACAGCCTTGTTGCGGTGGGCCTCCCATAGGGGGACGTGCCTGTGGGCAGCGCAAAACTATGTCGTCCTAAAACCATGTTCGGATCACTGGCAAGCAGATGCCCCCTAGAGCATGCGCATTGATTCTTTGTGTGGGCAAAACCAAACACGCCCACCAAAGAGTTTACGGTTTTGTACCTTGTCCGCACTTGCGCAGCCGTCGTGGGCAGCTGTTGGTGTCCCGTAGTACTCGGACATCTTCCGGGTCGACAAGCGCTGCTGCCGCCATGTCCGCAGCAAAGAGTTCATGACTTACAGACTAGCTTGCAAGTCACTTCATGGGCCATCAGGCTGCAAGCCCCTGCACGTGCTCAAATTTAAATATTGTGGACTGACCCAGAAGGCGATCGACGAAGTATCGTGTCCTTTATATCCAGATTCAATGCCGGGCTCCCACGAAACTTGCACCGGATCTGTTTACTTTGCACAGGGTACTGCAGAGTTTCCCGATCAACCCTTGTTGAAGGAGTTGTTTCGCATGCAAGATCTGCTGGACATGGGGCCGGGCATTGGAAGTATGTGCGCCGCCATGTGTCACAGCATTCCACGCTCCAGTGGCTCAAGCAGCAATGCGCTTGGGGTAGCGCCAGGAGCAGCGGATGTGTTTCAGCGTTGTGCTGACCTCTACCAGGTGACGCGGAGCTGACCGACGTCCACCGCCGTGTAGGTGGATCAATCGTGGGTGCGCAAGCGGCCCTTGCGCTGGGGGTTGCGACAGGGGAAGCCGAAGCAGCGGGGGCCTGTTGACGTGAACAAAGGGCGGCGGCAGGGCCTGCTGGGGAGAAACGCAACTGCACTTCGTTTTGGATCTCCCTTTTGGTGTTCCTCTTTGGTTTTGCCCAGCCAGTTGGCCATCTTTTGAGTGCCTATAAGCAGCGTAAGGATGATGAGACATCCGTGCCCATTTGTGATGAGACATCAGTGGCGTGCGCCGCTAGTCCTGCGCCTGGCTGTATTGCGCGTACCCATTTTAGGAGCAGCGCGCCGAGGTGCTTAGACCTACTGCGGCGCCGCATGCCAGGACTCTGCTATTCAGCCTTTGTTGCTGCGTTGGGTGGTTGTAAGCCACGAGCGCTCAAGTTCTGCGTCCAGCTGTATGGAGCAGGCCCAAAAGCCGTGGCCAAGTTGGAGTGGCATACGCGCGTCTCTATGGCTAATCTTTTGAATGAAGTAACCTCCCATTGGCGTCAGATTGGTGGGACCACACAACGCAGAGGCTTGATATTTGCGCGGCCTGAATGACTTTTGACTTTCTCCAAACAATTGCACATGACAGATGAACCGTAGAGTCCCATTGAGAAGCGGTGGCGATCAGTCGTAGACTCCCTCAAGTTTCCCTTTCCCTTACCATGGGGTCATTTGATGTGAGCGTGACTACCTGGTGGCTATGTTCGTTTTAGCTCACTTGACAATTCTCAAACGCCGGAAATCCATCCGGGATTCCGTGATGTCTGCATCCGTGCAAAGTCATTTGTCCACCACATTTTGAACTGTGGCCATCTGCGGACATGCGTGCGAATTAGCCGATACGTCTGCGCTGACATTTTTATTGTCTATTTTCGGGCGCTTCGTATCGCTTGCCTGGGACATGCCTGGCCCGTTGATGTCGCTGCCGCCAGTGTGCCAACACATTGCCTGGAAGTCAAAAAGAGGTTCCATTCTGGCAGCTTTTGCCTCTCACTGTTTTTGCATGTAATATGCCTAGGGACTGAAAACCGGACCCACTTTTCTGACACTTTTGGATTCCACATCACATGGTGTTGGGGGGGATTGGGGGTGGGGTGAAGGTCAAATCCCCCACAGTGGAGCGTGTTTTTACACAGTATCCCTGGATTCAACTCACAGTCCAACGAGGCTCACATGAGCGAGTGAGCGAAGGCAACCGAGCGGCTGTTTTCACGCGCGCATACCGTGAGCCAACTGTTATGGCGTGTCAACGCATTGCTGAAGAGCATATCGCAAGATAACCAAGTAGTTGAAACAACAGCGTAAACGGGGTCCCAAAAACAGAAAACATGGGGGGGGTGTTGTAGTTTCGTTCTCGCTTTCATACGTCTCATGAGCATTAAGGCTCAAAGAAGTAGCCACGGTGTGTGCTTTAGTTTTGTTGTGTCGGTTTTCGGGTTTTCCTTGTCCTCCTCGTTTTTTTGTGTCTTCTTGTCGTTGTCCACACTTTGGTGCAATGTGTGGTTGAGGTTTTCTTTTCGAAACAACAGAAATTAACTCCTTTTCTGTTGGAGGCTGTTGGTGTTGAGTTGGCGTTTGTTGCGTAGTTGTAGCAGCTCCATGTCGGATGGGTGCACCGCCACTGATTTGCTTGACAATGGCATCGGTGAAAAAGATTTGCACTCGGAGCCTGACCGGGGACAGCTAGTTGCACAAAAGACAGGCAACTTGAGGTGTCACGAAAAAACTTTTGTTTTTTAGGCAAAGCGCATGACAAGGCACTGCTTTTACCAATGAACTTGACATGAGAACCTGCAAGATAGGGTACGGTTTCCAATCCGTACGGATGTAAATGTAAATGTGTTATATGTATGTTATACACACATGTGGCAGAATCCGCTACATCCTTCTCCAGGCTTGGAGTTGTCCATCCGGGCCTCACCACATTATGGCTGAGGGCGAAGACGGCATCGTTGTGCAGCCTCTTTGTGATTGTTTTATGATGCTTTTGGTTTTGCGTCACCTTGCCGACTTTGCAAATGTACTGTAAGAGGATCAAATGCAGCTTCAATGGCAGGCTGTTCGTGCTGAAGATCGTCGTACATGTCAGCCCAAAGATGCTGTCAGCATTTTCGAGGCCAGCTATTGGATGTGTTTGTCCCAGCTGTGGTCAGGCCCTAGAGTCAAGGCATGTAATTGTGTAAACATGTGTAGTGTCAGCTCATGTCACATCGTTTCTTGCAACTTTCTGCCACAGGGTCAACGCGTTTTGTGGAGTTTGGCTCCTTGATTCAGCTTTTGTGTGCTTTGAACATTTTGAACAGGTAGCAAAAGCTGCAAATGTCTTGGGTGCTTTTCACAGAGAGCCTTGGTCATTCTAGTTGTTTTTCCTTTTATCATTGTCCAGCTGTTGCATCTGAAACAAGTATCAGCACCTTTATCCTTATCCCAAGTGGTCCATGTCAAGGAGCTACATTTGCGCCTCGGCCGCCGAATTCGTTCTTCATTGCGTTTGAGTCAAGACCTCAGCTGGCTGTGAGTTTCAAAGAGTCCGTTGATATTTATTTGTAGAGGTGCTGAAGATGTGCACGCCAGGAACTCACTTGGAGTGTTGTGCAGAGCGAAAAAATTGTGGTACAAGCAAGGTAAATGTGCCACAGCTAGCTTTGACTGTGGCAGAGCTTTCAGGCAGACCGTGCTCCAGAGTGATTTTTTAAATTTGGATTGGTGCAGAATTATATAGGTTGTAGTTGGACACTTTTTGGAACCGCTTTGCACCAGCTGACAGATGTAGCAAATGCAGAACACCAACCACAACTGCCTGCCCAGGCCTCAAGTCTCAAGCCCTTTGTTTTGATAAGAATCAATGACCGAAATTTTTGTGATGTTACGGCGCCTTTTTTCCACAGACCGACAACAAAACCGTTGAAACCATATTTGCCATCTATCCCTCCATAAATCTCAAAGATCGAAGTAACAAGTACTGAACTGGACGTGTCCAGGTACCTCGACTGTCAGCACTGTCAGCTGTGTTTGTTGGCAAGAATATGAAATATGACATTACCTGCAGCTCCGAAGAAAGGAAGTCACTGGAAACACTCAAGTCGACGGGCAACTGCTTAGCAGTTACTGCTATTTTGCAGCTTTGTGGATCGTAGAACCTGGCTAAGGACTCCGGACACACAGGTGTTTTGCATGACTATGGGCTGGTTTGTTTGACTTGCTTTGTTTCCTGGTAAAGGACATCACCATCGGTGTTGTTTTGTGACCCATTGCTTGACTTGAAGAAGGACTTGGCATCAGTTGCATTCTAGTTTGCGACAGCAAACAAGGCCCGAAGAACACCTTCTGCAGAGCAGCTGGAGGTAGCGTTGCGCTGCCTTGCAGTGCCTTTGGCTTCCGCCTTTCCAATAGACTTCAATTCTCTTCCAATTTGCTAATTCAGTCGCAAGAAACGAGGTGCTCTCTTGCGTTGATCGTGCAGATGCCTGGCCTGTGTGGTGCACTTACCAGCAATGTTTTGACCTACTCCCTTCATGTCCTTTGGGCTTCCAAAGAAACTGGACATGTGTCAATGCACACTGCTCTCTATGAGATAGGAGCACCCTTGCTCAGGCTACAGGCATCATCAAAGTATGCATACCAGATTCAAGGCAGGCCTGAACTGTCATACACAAAATGCCTGCATCCCCTGAAGAGTGCAATCACAACACCCCAGTGTTCTGTGATTGATGTGAATCACATACATCTATTTTTGCTTGCATTTTGTCAAATTTCAATCCTGATACCCTCAAGATCACGATGCCCTTTGAATTCCCAACTGATGGTCCGATCTTTGAGCCTAGACTCTGGGCGAGACATGGACATTGACACTTTGACCTTCGCTTTTGGGTTCCCGAAAGAGTGGGGAGGTGTTGAAAGTTCTAAGTCAATAGCAAGCACCAAGGAAACAGTGGCACATCTCGCTTAGCTGTCCCATAGAAATTGGAGTTGCGTGACAACCGTAGAAAACCTGTTGCAACTTTGCACTGTCTACTCTGGCGGCTTGAGAGGCCAGCCGGTGAGGGTTCTTCTGCCCTTCCTTTCACTCTGCTCGAGTTTGCTTCCAAAGGACTGATTTTGTGGTGTTCTTTTGCAACACATGGTTTCACAGTAGTTCCAGGACGCTTGGCCATGTTCAGCAAACAAAGTTTTTGCTCAGCTTGACCAGCAGAAGCCAGAGTGAGGTGCCCCAGCCAACAGCAAGAGCGTCACATGTAGCCTTTCTTCCAATATATAAAGTTACAGTATGCTTGGAGCGGCAAGGACATTTTATTAAAGAGAGCGGGGGACTGTGAGAGTGCAGTTTTTAATTGTTTTTAAACAAGTGTTTGGTATGATTTGATGCTTAAGATATGCAAAGATGCTTGTTTTCACTCCAGGGCAGAAGATACCACTCTACTCTAACATGGGGCCTGGGTTTTGGTTTTCCCAAAATTTTAGGTAAATGCTTCAGTGGTAGCCCCTCTCCATATAAACACATATATATATATAATCTGTTCCTGCTCTCTCTATATGAACAAATATATTATGTATTCCTGAATCAGGGTCATTTTATTGTTTTGGAAGCAGCAAGCAGTCATTCAGATGGTTTTGAACAAAATAATTAGGAAAGAAGCAGGTCTCTAGATCTCTGCTTATATAGTTATGTTTAGATTTGGAACGATTTTATATAGACGCGTTTATGTTACACATGATTCTCTATAGATCTCTGCAGATAATCATTTTTAGATTTAACCAACTATATAGAAAGCTTGTATGTTAAAAGCTTTATTCTAGATTTCTGCGGGTAAGAGCTTGCAGCATTGCATTTTCAAAGTTTTCCTCTGGATCTTTGGGAACGTAGATATCCCATATATGTGTGTTTTCATGAAATGAAAGCTCTTGAAAGAATACCATATTTATTGATATATAGCATGTTTAAATTGACATGATCATTTCCAGAGATCCAGAGGAACGCTTTTGAAATGAAAGCTTTTATATATAGTTTTATTGTAGAAATGATCATCCACAGAGACCTAGAGGGAAGCTCTTGAATTAGAAGCTTGTACATAAAACATGTTTAATATGTCTATATTATTTCCAGTGATTACTGTAAATAAACAAAATCTAACTATTTACTTCAAAAAGAGTTTTAGTCTTGTTCCCAGCACTCCCAGGGCAAAAAAATACTGTAAAACACGGGGTTTTGTAGCATGTGTTTTCTTAAACTAAATAGACTAGAGCTAGAATAGAATTAGGTAGAATTAAATTGGATTTGAGTTAGAGCTAAGATAGAACTGAATAAAAACCGAATTTCAAATACTCTTGTATTGAACTATAACTATAACCTATTTAACATTAGATGAGAGTTGAATTAGAAAGGAATTGGAATTAAAATTAGAAGTTCGCCAGAATAAGATGTAAAACGCTTGAGCTACAAGATGCACAAGTCGAGGAGGCTTGGCCATTACAAAGCCGAAGCAAAAGCAACAAGCATTGAATTAGAACTAAAGCTTACACAGATTCATAACAATTTCATGTAAATTGGAAGGTATCATTACAGTTTCATGTCAAGCTGATTGGACATGCAATTGGCAAACACATTGATACCAATCAGAAGTTAATGCACAGACTTGTACATGGAGATTTCGACAAGGACAAGTAAGTGGTGGGCTCAAACGCTTTCATTGTAAGAGCAAAGAACATATGCCTTTAGGTGAGACTTAGGCTCACACACTTGAAGGTTGAACGAAATAGTAAGAACACAGATTGACCTCAATAGGAAACCAAAAAAACAAAAAGCCTTGAGAAAACCAATAACAACCTAGGAAAAGCCAAAAAACCTTGAAAAAGCAAAACAACAAAAGAACCAAAAACAAAACAATTCTGGCAGCTTTGATTGACACATAGCATGAATGCAGGCCACAGTGGGAAGTTTATAGCGCATAGATGGAAGTAGGCAGCAACAACACATAAAATACGCACTCTGGTGGTCCCCTGTTCTGTTATTAAACTTATTGCTACCCTGCACATGCGATGCTTGCATGAACAAGAGTTTAAGTATAGCCACTGAACTCCAGTTCCTTGAGCTCTGCTGTTTTTGACCATGTTTGCTCTTGGTCCTATGGTGTGCTTCAGCTCAGTGATGGCTTGTGAGTTATGAGTTGTGGGATGCATGGGCTTTGTACCATTACCATAACAGTGACGTGAGGCTGGCGAGCACTGCCGAGCTACTAGAGATCCATCGCTGTAGTGCTCTGATTGCATCCCAGGCGCAGGGACACCAGGGACACCTTATCCTTTTTTCTTTTAGGGCTACTTTTTTGGGCTGGGTTTTACTAGCTACTGGTGCAGGATAGCGCACGGATCGCACTATTCATTTGGTTCCTGCAAAACAGGAAAGAATCAGTTATATATGTAAGTTTCCCAAAAAATCGAGTAACTAAATCATTAGCGCGAGCTAGCCTGCGTCCTACCTAGGAGCATTCTTGTAGGTAGTAGCTACCTCTTCTACAAGTTACTTCCTACCTCTCGCGGCCTACCCCCGGGCTAAAAATTCAAAACACTTAAAAGCATCCTTCAGTGTCTTCCTCACGTGCGTTCTCGTGCCCCTTTTACCTCAGGAGAGCCTTCGCCTTCAAGGTGTGATCTCAAATAGATCTCTTTTACGATGTACCGGAGAACTCCGGTTCGTAGCGTCCTTGCTCCTAGTAGCGTCCTTGTTACTACTAGTAAGGCACTTGTTACTAGAAGCGATGCACTTGTTCCTAGTAACGTCCTTGCTCCTACGGTTTGTCAGCCATTTTCTGGAGTTCTTCGATGTGGACATTTTGACGAGCATTGCCCCATATTGGTATCGCTCTTGGACACAGATTCCAGCTTGAGACAACGAGTTCATTTTCCCAGGCAAAAGCTCTGAGACAGCGTGTATATGGCATCGTCGCAGGTTTTGCAGGTCAGCTTCAGATGTGCTGTGTCAGTCGAGTGGGAACTTGTTCCGGACATGTGACATGTGTCAAGTTCGTGGTGATTGGTAGACAGTCAGGTGAACAATTTGGTGACTCACAACTGCGTGCGCTGTCAGACTATGCCACAATAGTTGAGGCTTGGACTTTGCAAGCTCTTTTTTCAGCAATATTTTCTATCTTGTGCTAGGCTAAACTGAAGAATGTGAGTTTTCCAACTGGCAGTTCGCAACAGGTGCTCCGCAAACATTCTCCGGGTGCGGTGGGACGGGAGGAGGCTGTCTATTTTGAAGCCCTTCGAGCATTTTGGTTCCCTTGGTCCATGAGCTATGGAGGCTGAATTGGCAGTGTCTGCTGGGCACACTCTTCGGGTCATCGTCTTGGTTCTGTCAGGTTGAAGGGATTGGCTGGAACATGATTGGAACGTTTCTAAGGTCAGACTAGGTCAGAAGCCTGCAGTCAGCCTAGGCAGCTTCAGAATCTTTGTCTCGCATTTGTTCAGTCAACTTCTGGAGTTCGGTTAGATTCAGCTGCATTTGGACCAGGAACTGCCGTTTCTTTGGCCCAATGGCATGCTTCGACTTCAGCTCCAGCCTTGGTCACTGAATGCAGTGGGCTTTTTTTCCAGATGAATTGCCTTCTACTGAGTGAGCCAAATAGACTGACCCCACATGCAACCGTGCCTGCAACCTGACCTCCTTTAGGTTCCTGCTTTTGCTTCGGCTCGACACTCTTGTGAGATATTATCAACAAAGGTGGGCAGAGAACGTATGATTGTGATTTTTTAAAATAGTCTTGAAACTGTTGCTTGATCAACCTCCAGGTGCAGCATTTAGAAGGATCGAGGCTGAGGCTGTTTGTAGCAGTTGACACTTGTTTTTGTGCTCCTCAGTTTTATGTCACGCTTTCAATTCCGATCACTTGGCAGGCGTTCAATCTTCGCAGCATTGCAGGAGAGAATTCATGTTTGGGCTTGCCTCTTTTCCCCAGCGACAGTTGGGGATTCTTGAGTGTCCTGACTGCTTTCCAAACAATAGCTATAAATCCTACTGGAACGCATTTTTCCAGTGTTCCTCTAACATGCTTGTTGCTGGAGCAGGCTTTTTTGCACGGATTTCTCAGTCCCCTTGCACCCAGTGGTTGCCAATGCCTTTGGCTGTGTGTCTTCTAATCCTTCTCCTCCTTCTCCTTGGTTCGTTTCATTCCTTACATTACTCAAATAGTGATTGAATTATATAGTGGGTGGAACTGTGGGAGTTTGGCAGAGGCCTCGCTTGGATCGACAGGGTCTTTGTGGATCCCAGTGCTTCGAGCTCTTGCCTCATGCCTGATAGTGCTGTGCGATGGCTTTGCCTCACTGCTTTTTGAGGCCTTGGTGGCAGAGCTGCAAAGGATTCCGCCAGATTTAGAAGTCAACTACAGCAGATACAGCTTGTCAGCTGCTCTCCGTCTACTGGGTGCATTCTTCAGTGTATCCAGGAAGATTTACCTTCAGCCAGCAGAGGAACTGTTGGGTTCCCCACGTGAGTGGCATCAAAAGCAGCAAGTCCTCAAGACCATTCAAGAACCAACTTCCTCTGAGGCTGCGATTGGCGGCTCACTTCTTGAAGGCAAATCACGTGTGAAACGACTTCTCCTTTTGAGAAGAGCCTTGGAGCTTGTAGGCCACCAGAGCACGGGGTAAAGTCCTGGGTAAAGCTCGCAAGCAGCTCCAGCAGAGACCCGAGACTCCCTATCCAATTCGCATTTGACTTGCCAAAACTCTAAACGTCTAAACTGAAAACTGTCAGTCCTTGCATTTCTTTCTGGTTTCGGATAAAGAACATGCTAGGTGTCGAGCAAAGCTGCCAGAGCCAGTGCTCCTTGGCCGGACAGGCTGGACAACTTCGATTTCCCATCTTACAACTCTTCGATTTCCCAGTCTTAGAACACTCTTTTTTTTCCCAGGTGCGCACATTGTGGTTTGCAGACTGCTTAAGGAACCGGCGTTACTCTCCCAGGCTTGTTTGGGCTGCATTGAGCTTGGATGGGACCTCCAAGCATTCATAATTGACCGCTACCTGCATGGTTTGCTTTAATCTAAAGAGACCGTGCCAACTTGGATTTGCTGGAACCGTACTGGAGAGGCAAAGCAAGCTCAAATCATCAAGAAAGAAATCACCACCGAGCACTAGACACTGCCACGGATCATGAACGCAACACCAAAAGCTGGTTGTTGCAGGAATGTTAATGAACTGGTGATGTCAATAGTTCCACACTCCATTGCCGCATCACTTGCATCGTGCTCAAATGTAAGTTACATAAAAGCTATCCCACCGGCAGCAACGAAACAATAGCAGTTAAATGAGAAAACGCAGCAAAAAGATATGCTTTGCAGATTTACAAGTAAGTTTAGGGCAACTTCTCTGTCCCAGGTGGAGGGCACGACAAGCCTGTCAAGGCCATGGGGAAAGAAAGGACACCCTAAGGCCAAACTCACTCAGCTGTGCAGGGAACAGGGTGGCCAGAAACACTGACTGTAGCAGGGTGCCAAGAGATGCTGCTGCAAGTGCTGTGCTGGGACAAGACATCCCACGGTCACTTGATTTGTCTTCTTGTGGCGCGAGTGTTCACAAAAGCAAGCTCGCAACGAGCTACGAACATGGGCTCACAATGAAAGTTCCGTAACGGCACGATGACCTGGGTGGGGCAGCATGCGCCGTGGGTTCGGTGGGGGTCCCATCACTTATGCAGCAAGAATGGATTCGTTGCCAGCCCCAGAATAAGTTGTGGTTGCCTACCAAACTATTCTAAAGCTTTCCCAAAGGGAAACACAGATCACTGCAGATCACCAGAAGCCACCACCAATGGCCGCAGCACAACATACACCATCTCAAGCCATTCTTCATTGAATTTGCCAGCCATCCTTGACCCTCACATCATCACATCCTGGAACAGATTGAAACCAATTCTGCTAACCGAACCATTCCACCCTCAAGAGAGTGCACATTTCCTCACTTTTCCCAACCCTTGCTACCTTTTGTAACGATAGATCACTCTCATGATAAGGGGCAGTGAAACTTTGCAAAGTGTCAGGTCTCTGCTGCAGCTCTGAAGGCAAGGAGTCTTCCCCACCAGAGGAAAATGCAAAAAGAACGCTGCAGGAGGCATTGGCTCTCGCCATGAAGATGAAGGCGAAGAGGTCAAGAAAGCCTAACCAGAGATTGCGCGCTGTCGGTTCCTCAAGCATGCGAAAGCAAGGCATATGCATCACTGTACACAGCTTGCTTGACCTGTACAAGGAATCATCGACTCCCCATCCTGCCCTGCTTCCAGACAATGTGCCGTGGATGGTGACGCCTGTGTCAGCAAAGGCAGACATTGAAGTTGTAGAATTGCTGTGACGAATCGGAGCATTGAGTGTAAGATCGTTGAATATGTGTTGTCAGCATCTCCGTGGCATAACAAGGCCACCAAAACTAGCAGCTCAAAGTCAGCAGCCAGGTCGAACATGGCCTCCTCCCTCTTGGCCAAGCTGGATGTTTTCTTAGACGCTGTGCCTGCGCTCGACTCAGATTTTGAAGCAACACTTTTAGAATCCATGGCAACGTGTGACGATCCTGTTGGAGATTCTTGTGCCAGGGATCTGTACCGCTGCTCGTGTTGGCTGGAAATCCAGAATTGTGCAATGTTTGTCAAGAGGATGGATTTGAAGGCAAGGCATGGCCCTCGCCATGCCTGTTTCGCTTGCCTTTTTGGAATATTTATGGTGGAGCGAACTTTGGATCTTGTGACATGTTTGGTCTCTGGCGATGCAGCAAGGTTTTCCATGGATCCCACTCAGCGCACAAGCTCGTCACGGGTTCCTGCTCATCAGGTGTCAGAAATCGGCTTGCGACCAGACACCAAAGCTTCATTTTCCTTTCCTCCCGAGCCAAGCGTGGGCAAGGTAGAGCACAAACTTAGGCTAACAGCCGAAGAAGGCAGTGAAAGGTTTGAGGAGCTTGTGACACAATTGAACTGGAGAATGCGAGAATGCAGTTCTGCAGAAGAATGTGCAGATTTGGAAGAGCTGTCCCAGTACAGAGATGCTTTATACCGACTTGGCGTTTCTGATGATGGACAAGTGCCTGGCCTCAGTGATGCAGAGCTTGCAGAGTCCTTGTCAGTCCTCAAAGCTATGGCAGCACAAATACCAGCCACAGTGACAGTCATCAGCCAGACTGGTGGCATAGGCCCTGGCAATCGAACTGCAATCACAGCGCTGGTGCGTGCTTGCCAGTCTTCTTTTTTCCTTCGAGGTGGAGATGAGGTGAGAATATGCACCGTAGGCAACGTAGACTCTTGGACTTAACTGCATCGGACGTCACAGCAGGCTCGCCACTCCTGCCCCTAACTACTCCTTAGAACATGCACTTTAAACAGAGATTGAAGTAACTGAGGACTCCGGCAAGTCAACGCTCTTGGGACTGCTGACACAGGGCCTTCAGGATGACGGTCGTGGACGAGCCCGCGCCGCTGTCTTTCGGCACCGCCATGAGATAGAGTCAGGCAGAACATCGAGCATAGCAACATCCACCCTCGGATTTGATCAAACAGGCGAGGTTGTGAACTACCGGGTGGATGGAAGTGGACTTTTTCGAAGTGAGAAGCCACATCACAACATTGGTCGGATTGAAGCGCAAGCTCGGATCGCCGAGAAGTCATCCAAGCTGATTACATTCTTCGACCTTTGTGGACATGAAAGGCCGATGTTTTTCGATGTTGTTCACGTTTTTGCAATGTTTATCTTTGAAAATGAGTTTGTAAGACATTGATTGCTGAAGTGGTTCTGAGGTTTTAATCTTGTTGCAGGTACTTCAAGACCACTTTGCAAGGAATGGTTGGCCTGAATCCAGACTATTTGCTATGTACGGTGGATGCCAATCGTGGGGAAATGCGTGGAATGGTTCACGAACACCTTGTAGTTGCCCATGCACTTGGAATCCCGGCAATCATTTGCTTGACCAAATGTGATGTCGCAGATGAAGAGCGGCGCTATGCTGCACTGCTCGATGTGAAACGTTATATGAAGCAGCTGGGATCCAAAACACTTGTTGTGAAAGACGCCAATGATGCTGTGCTGGCGGCAGAGCGGATTCTTCAAGGATACAGCCCAATCTTTTTGTGCTCTGCTGTCACTGGAGCTATGGTACGAGAGTTGAAGCTTCTTCTGAACGTGATGTCACGTCGTCCAAGCTTGTTTCAAAAGACGCTCCAGACTGAACCAGATCTTCAAATCCAAATTGACGAGGTCTTTCCTCAGGTGCCTGGAGTGGGACTTGTCATTGCTGGCAGAGTGTTGCATGGAACTGCCAGACCAGGCGACGCTGTAAGGATCGGACCTATAGTTGATGCCTCTGGTGGCTTACTGAAAGATGGCTTTTTGAGTTTGAGAATCTCCTCAATCCGAGTGCAAGATCATCCTGTAGAGCAACTGCGGGCTGGCTCTAGTGGAACCTTCGCTCTAAAATCAGCAGGGAGGACAAAAGTATTGACTCCCCGCACATTGAGCAGGTCCAAGTTTTTGGTTGGGACCAAATCCATTTTGGCTCCAACAAGGTGGGTCAAGGCCACTGTCACCGTCCTGCAGCACCCTAGCTCCATCCGAGTGCGATACGAGCCTGTTTTGCATGTTGGGATGACACGTCAAACTGCCAGAGTCATGTCCATGACAAGCTCTGACGGGGAACCCGTCGATCTACTGAGAGCCGGCGATTCTGCTGACATTCTCTTCCGCTGGGCACATTGGCCAGAAATTGTTGAGCCTGGTTGCGCCCTGGTGTTTCGAGAAAACTCCGTGAAAGGAATTGGCACAGTTACCTGGGTTGGCAACTTGGATGAACCTAGAGAAGAGCGTACAAAGGAAGTTTCGAGAAAGAAATCCAAAGTCAAGCAGACCAAGTCTAAAAGGAAAGGCTCTGTGGAATCTGTTGCAGCAAAAAAAACAGATACTGACAAGAAGACTCGAAAGGGACTTCTTCAGGATAAAAAGAAGTCCAAACGCCCAAAACGATAGATGTTTTTGGAGTTTTGGCAGTCCTGACGGGCTTGTGGACTGGTTGAGCCGCAAACCAGAGGTGGCACAACTCCAGCTCCTTGTACAAAGGTCGGCCGTTTTCTCGGCCGCGCATTGGATTCGTTGAGGTGTTCTTTTTGTTTGATCAGATCTTGTTCTTTTAACTGTGGCAATGTCCACATGTTCTTGAGTCTGGTCATCAGACGAACAGCTCTCAGACATTCGTGGAATGCGCGCAGAACTGTCTTTGCAGTCTGCGTGTTCGACAGTCAGCACTTGAAAGCAAATCTGGCCCCCATCTCTTCAGAATGCACAATCTAAGCGCAAGTCAGTGTAAAAACACCTTTTTAAAATGCAAATATATAAGTGTTCATTGCTGATCATTGAATATTGTATATTGTTACCGACTGTTACAGGTAGTGGGACAAACCCACTTAGATTTTAATGCAAATATATATATATATATATGAACGTTTAAGGGGTTTGTTTTCCAAACCCTGTGAGGCCTCCACCAGAAGATGTGTTTCAGCTTCATCAAGAGCTTGCATTATCAGGTGGCCTTGTCAGTTTGGTTCAAGCTACTAGTAGCTTCTTGTTACTAGTAGTAATGCACTTGTTACTAGTAGCAAGAAGCTACTAAATAAAGTTGTCTATACCATGTGTATTTATAAAGTTGTATATTTATACATCGGATGCACAGCACATTGTATAGTGCGGGCTACACTAGCATGCAGTGAGCAGGTCGCCTTTCGGACAACTTCATTGGAAACCGCTGGTGAGCAGACGCAGCAAAACTAGAGTGCCCCGGAGGGCGGAGTTCGCCTGCTACAAGTCACAACGTCACAACGTGGTGTATGTTTGTTGTTTTGCCTTGTGTGGCATCCAGTAGCTCGATGATTTCTCCTGGCTCGGCAGCGGATTGTGGTGCATGCTTCTGCTGGAAGGGTGTAAGGAAGGGAAGGAAGGGTAGAACAAGGAACACAGGGAAACAAAGGGAATGCAAAGCCAGTCCTCATATGAGAGCAGCCCACTGATGTTTGCTGAGGATGCAGTTTCATGAGTTTTGGACGTCGCCAGAGAGTTCGACATTTTTACTTGTATTCTGAGATGTTAATTGTGAACTCCTCTCCGCAGCCAGAGTTCTCACAGTGTAGATTCGATGGGAAACTGTTGCACAGAGGACTGATTGCACAGTCAGTCCCCAACATCTTTACAAAGAAAGCAAAGGGTTTCTTTGTGTTTTGGAAGCTAATCTGCAGCTTTTGTGTTTGCCCGCTTTTGGCAGAGTGAACTTGCAAGGATTTTCGCGTTGATGGGCAAGAGTTTCAGGGCCCAAGCAACGATCTTGGCAGAGAGTACGCCCAACCACTCGCAAAGCCGCTTGATCCCTCAAGCAGGGGTCCAAGTGTTAAGAGTCAGAAACATGGCAATGCTTCTTCAAACCGTAGCTTTTGCAAAAAGGAAGAGCTATCGCTGCCAAGTCGATGCCACAAATACCAAAAGCTGGCACCTCAGTAACTGCATGGGTCCTTTGCACTGACACACACACACACACACTGATTGCGGAGGCAAGTCGGTCTTGCTTCGTTTGCTACGCCTGTGCTGCTACCGGTCAGGCAAGGTCCAAAGTCTTTACGCTTGGCAGCTTCGAACCCCCAAACATGTGAGGTGAGAAAGGGAGACATTCCCCACCTTCAGGCTCGTGCGGCATTGTCCAATTCCCTTGTGTTTGTCAAGAGAGATAGGGCTTGTGTAGCGGGTTTTACGAGGTCGCAGATCTCCGTCAGAAACCCTGATACTCCACATACTGCAGTGGTTTTGATTATATTCTTACCCTATATCAGGTAAGGTAAGGTATGGCTGAAGATAAGGCTACGGTATAAAAAGACACATGGCAATCGATCTTGAACAGTTGCTAGACAAGCAAGGCAGAGAGAATTATACACAACTGTAGATATATATATAGTTCCTACTGGCCCAACTAATTAAGATTTTTGTGTGAGCATGCGAGCATGTGAGCCAGGGTGTGCAGCAGTCTGGTGTGGCTCGCCCTGAGTATGCAAATCGACTGCTGGGCCGAATTACTTGACGCTACTCCAATTGCCAACATGGAAGGCCAGACACACGTCGCTTGTCTGGTCTTTACCTGTCATAACCTGACATGAGATTGCCAAGATGGCAGCAACAGTTTCGGGAGCGACAAAAAACACCACAGAAAAGCACAAGTACAAATACAATCAAATACATTTGTACAGTACATGTTTTCAGTACTTTGAATCATTCGATTCTGAATCGATTTCCAGTTTCTGGAGTCTCTGGCCTCAGACAAGGTGAGCCGTTTCACTCCAAACGCTTGAAAGAAAGCGAAGCCATGTCGCCGGATATGCTGTGAAGACAGAGATTCTGTGATGTGGGCCCTATTGCTTGTAGGTTGGCTTTTGCATTGGGCTTTCCTTTTCTTCCTTCTAAAAATGTGATTCCACGGAAGAACATGCAACATGCTAGAAATTCTACATGCATGTGGATGACGCGGAGTCAATGCCTCCTGTAGCCGTTTGTTTGCAACTAGTTCTGCCAGTGCTCTCCGAGTGATCCTAGGCATCGACTAGGTATTCTATTGGCAGAATGTACATATGTTACTTATGTAAAAAAAATATCCTGTACTTGTTTCGAGGGTACTTCATTTGTGGATTGTTGATGCGCTTTAGACCTGGTTAGAACATTCTGTTCCCTCCGCTACAATCAATTTTAACTGATGTGCAAAAACAGCAAGCTCACTAGGTTTGGTTGTGGAGACACTGACGTTTGTTGTTTGAGCTTTGCCAAACAATTCCTTTCATGCACAGTAAATGGCCTAGGAGTACAACTTTTGTACTGTCCCCCCGGGCCAAAAAAACACAATGGACTTGGCCTTGCTTTGCCGGAGATGGCGAACGATGCTGCAAACATAAAGGACCATTAAAAGCAACCTTCGAAGTGTTAGTAACAACAGAACAGCTAATTTGTGACGCAGGAGCTTGAGGCATGCCGAGATAAGCCATCTACTCAGTGCAGTCTGCCAACGCTTTGGTGATAAATTCCATCATTTCATTGCAGGCTCCAAGCTTGCCGCGATGGGTCTGGCAAGACGGACGGCAGTTGAGCTGTGCTTCTTACGCATATACTATATTTGTCAATTCGTCTATAAAATCACTCGGGGGTTCATTGATTGGCTATATAGCAAAGCAACTGTTCTGCAGATTTGCTTCCATCCAAACCAAAAGTGTTTGCGTTAGCATGTCGTCTTGGCAGGATGCAGCGAGTATTGTGTCAATCTTTCGCGCGATGTCAAAGGTGAGCGTCAGCGTGCAGTCTCTTCGAGCCACTGGTGTTGCGAAGGCCTGTGACAAGCTTGCCACTGTTGTTTGGCTTCGAAGAGCCAGCCATGTCACTTGTCTGGTGCAGGAAGCCAACCATGTTTTCTTCAGAAACAATCCAGACATCAAGGCGCGAGGGGGGCCTTGCGGCCTTGCATGATTGAGGTGGCGCAATCAGATGGACATTCATTTTTTGCTCAAAATTGCCCAAATGAAGTGCTTCTTTGCTGCCGGTCCGTTTGGTATCCTGCGTCGGTGATCCGCCTCCACTAATGACCAATCTCCTGTGCGTATCCCCACTTGACGCCTTTCAGCCACTGATCCTTTGATCGGCTCCTTGTGCCCGATGAAAGTGCACTTGTTCCATGGGTTCCATGGGTTCAGCTTGTTGGTGGTGTGACGTGCTGCTGATTTTGGGCCTTGACGACGATTGCCTGCCAGCGATGTAGGTCTGTTTGTGCATCTTAATTGCTTCTCGTTTTTTTAATCTTCAAAGGTTTGCAGTCTGGTGTACATGCTAACATGCAAGCAGCAACCATCGCTGATAGCGCTATGGCACGCTCTCGACTATCTTTTTCCCCCTGGCTATGTCTTGCGTTTCGCAAGGCAGCTCTGTCTCACTCAAACTGCCTCATTCCGTGAGAGCACATCAGCAGCGTGGAGTGAAGTGCAACACTTTATGCTGGAGCACAGGACGACTACTAAATTTGATGCACCTTGCCCCCCAGCTGTCTGCCCGCAAATTCACGCCACACCAAAGGTTCTCAGGGCAGGATGTTGAAGCCTTGTTCTCTCCTGTGACCTTCTCCTGCCGCGTGTTCTGCATCCGGTAGTCCATATCCTTTTGGCTGGTCGTCTTCTTCTTCTTCTTCTTCTTCCGGTACTTCCTCCCCCTCCCCTTCTTCTCTTTCAGCCTCAATGGCAGGGTCAGTCAGCCGCCTCCTCCTCCTCCTCTCCTCCTCCTCCTCATTTTCTTGTTCTTCTTCTGTCTCCTCCACCCTTTTCGCTCTGGCCAAGTTGTGGCCAACTATATAGTTGGGGTCATCTAGGGCCAAATTGACCCTAAGATGAGCCCATGATCATCGGAAGACGTTGCTCCGAAACGTCCAGCTTAGCCGAGTTTATCCGCTGTTGAAAAACATTAAAAACTCTGGGTTTGTAGCAGCACAGGCCTTAGTAGCGACTTTTTGAGGCCTGTGACTTTGAAAAAAGGGGTGGGTTCTGCAGAAGTAACCACTAAGGGTTCACTACGTTGTTGAAGCGTTGCTGCAGCACGAGTTGATCACGAACCTCAGCACCTTTGGTGCTGGCGGATTTCAGTCATTCTGCAGCTTCCTCTTGCCCGAGTGTTGTGGTCTCACATGGTTCAATGGTTCGGTCGTTTTTCTCCCAGGACAAGGTGTAAGTTCCAACGAGGAACATCTAGTTTACTAGTGGAGCAACCGGAATTTCTTCTTGTCTCATTTTCTTTTTCGGTCCGGCTCTCAAAATTAGGTGAGGGAAGCCTGCGCCAAGCTGATTGCATCCTGGAAGGCTTGAAATTCCAAAGCGTTGCGCAGCAATTGCTGATAAATTGCCTGGTAGGAAATAGGTTTGGCAAAGTCCGGTGCCGAGATCTTGAACGACGAAGTGACACGAGAGGTTTGTTGAGGGTTTGTCGTCGTTTCAGCTCTATATCTTTATTCCGAGGCGGCCAGCAACACCACCGGTTGCGGAAACTCTCCCTCCTGCGAACATGCCTCAGGTGTCTCATGTCCCTTCGTTGATTTAATTCCAATCTGGAGACCCTTTCTAGGCTTGCTTCCGGAAAGGGTGAAGAGGAAGCGCCAATGAAGCCTTCCAAGGACTTGTGTTTTTTGAAAAAGAACAACTATTTTCACGGCTTGGAAATAGTGAGTCTCGGAATCTAGATAAGAGACAGGAGAAGCGGACAGCAGATGTGACCAAGCCGGACAAGACGGAAAAGGCAGCAGGGTTCTTTCATATTCGAGAAACGGTCTCAGAGTGATGATGAGGGGACTTGCTGTCCAGGCGAAACGAAGCAAGAAAACAGAGGAGAAGGTTGGCGATACACCCAACGCGGAGCTATGCCCAGCAAAAGCGGTCCATACTCAGACTAACACGGATCCTCACGTCTAAATTCAAGGAGCTTGCTGCACAATTTAAAGAACTGGCGAGTCACGAGTTCAAGCCACCGTCTCGGAGTTTTTTGTTTTGCTGCGTGTGCATTGAATCGTTTCGTCAGTCTTTATCAGACTAATTCTTCTTGACATCGCCAACAAATTGATGCGCTCACTAAGGAAGGGGGGGACGAGCAAATTTGCAGGCATCGCCTTCAACAAGGCCCGTATTGAAAGTCTGATTCTCCAGCGCAAGTGCATCCGATCACTGTCAAGGTGGTTGCAATTCTGAATGGCTTAGAACAGAAGGCCTGGTGGTTACATTTTTTGCGTGATTGTTTCACTTTGCTTCTAAGAGATGTTCCAGGTAACTTCTGGATCATCTATTGCGCACTTGCCCGGGATTGGAAAGGCGCTTGAAGCCTTCTGTTCAATTCCTTTGCAGAAATGCACGCTTTTCAGGAGACTGTGAAGAAGATCGATCAATATTTGGAGAAGGGCAACTTGGCTGCGAAGTTTTCCCCTGAGAAAAAGACATGCTACAGCGCTACATTTCGGTAATCACCACGAGGGTGGCCATAGGGTTACAGTCTCTATGTTTGCGTGATCTCGCAGGAATCATAGACAAGCTCGAGAGGATCCGCAATGGTGAGGAAGATTAGGTGCCATTTCTGCCATGATCGTTTAGCATTTGCATTCCTGATCCAACCTACACAGCAGAAGCTCTGTGGCTTACTTGTTGCAGAGCCTGAAAAGAATTATAGCTTGCATCAGTCAAAGTTCTTCATACAGTCAGTGCTGTGGCTAGTGTTTTTGTTCTTGAATGTTTGTTCTTGGTTTCTTGCTCGAGCTGTCTCAGCTTTAGCTAGGCTGGTCTTGCCATGAAGAATCCATGAAACAGTTTCAAGCAGGTTCCAAACCGGTCTTGTCCAACAATCAAGCGCATGCCCGCAGCTCGAACCGTTGACAAACCCTTCCAGGATTGCGCTAGGACTTGTCAGGATGGACACTGCGCAGCTGGTTTTGAGGCTTTGCTTTTTATTGTTTCGACAATACTTGACAAGCTCTGTTTTTGCACATCTCGCAACCAGAGGTCACATGTGCAGAGGTTTCTTGGAGCAGCTGTTGAGTCCAGCTGTGCCGTGGCTCAACCTTTGCTTCTTACTGTGAGAGTAGGAACAACTTCTGGCCTCGGGCCTCAAAGTACTGTGTATGATACATCTGTATTCCATAGATGAGCTGTTCTCCCTCAATGCAGCGGTGGAACAGCGCTTCATAGCCTTATAGTTTATAGCCTTATAGAATTTGATTCAATGGCAAGGGCAGAAAGTCTAGGCCAAGAGTCAAAGCTTGAGCCCAAACTTTGGGGAAGCTGTCGCATAGATTCTGGTTTGAATAGTGGCCCTAAATTGACCCTTGTCGGAAAAGCAGAGGACGGTGGGGGCACGCGAATAGAGAGCACTTGGAGCAGAGGCGAAGACCAGAGAACTCGAAACACAATGTATTTAAAGTGTTTCTATTTTTTTTTGTCTTTATAAGACAAAGAGTATCAAGAGAGCATCAAGAGCTCTCTACTTCTTTTGGAGAACGGCCTTACATGCAACCGGCCACCTGATCAGGTCGTGCGTTACAGTCCAAAGCAAGTCGCGCTGACTTTGATAAAGTGTTCCAAGTGCGCCAGTAACCTTGTGTGTATGCAGCATTTGCACAACTTAGCAACATATCAGAGGAAAAGGAGGAGAAACACCGGCGCCAGAACCCCCAATAAGCCCAGAAAGACCAGAGACCAGACCCTAGCTCCCCAAAGCGAAGCCGACGGAAGAATGCATTATTGTCGTGCAAAAACTTTCACACGTATTTCTGACAAAGGCAACCAATTCTGCCCTTTGTGATTTTCCGCTTTGCTAAAGGGTAAGCTCCGCAGAAGGTGAGACTTCGGAATGTTTGGTCAGGTCGAAGTTGAAGAGGCAGACTAGGATGACAAGGTTATCTCTATATATATAAAAAAATGTTGTGAGTGCACAACCATATTCAAGTTTCAAGTCTTTTGAAGCTTGTTCACTCCCATCACTGTCTGAAGACATGCGTCATGAGTTCTAAGGCACACGTCCAGGAACTCGTGGAGCTACCTGCCCAGGCACAACGCAGCTGGAAAACCTGTTTCTGTGCCCATGTGCAGCAAAGCCACAACCCTTCAGTTCAGGGTTAGGAGCAGGTCTTGCGACATGGAAAGTGGAAGCTTTGGTTAAGTTAAGCAGCTGCAGAGTTTGTGAAAACACGCAGGAATCCCTGGGCATGGAAAACACTGCCACCTTTCTAGCAGTTCCCTGGAAAAGTTCGTTATTTGCAAGCTGCCGTGCATTCCAACGCTGGAGAAGACGCGCTTTTCATGAGCGCAACAATTGCTCACGCGCTTCAAAAGCCTGCGATGGATCGACAGAGGTCACTGTTGATCTAGGCACCGTGCGCTGTGCCAAGGGCATTTGAAGGGGTTTTGTTGACAAAAAGCAAACTGCCAGGGAATGGTATTCGGTTGTTTGCTTTTTGCGGGTGTTTGCATCAGCAATAGGCCCTAAGCAAGAAAGGAATGCCATGGGCTTCAGCTTGGTTCTTGCCCGTATCCAGCAGGCTCTGGTGTACGGTAAGCATGGTAAACTGTCTCAGGAAGCCAGTGGATAACGCTCTCATCGCGGCAACGCTTTCATCTCCAAATACATCAGCGGTGGAAACTACGTCCGCTTCGCGCGCATTTACGTGCCACGACTCGCCGTCCGCAGGGCATGGCACGCGTGATTCCAAGAAACCCAGCCACACTGCTGCGGGATACCAGGAATCCACCCTGTCCAAGTCTTCAGCTCCTTTGTCGCAGTGCGTTTTGGCCTTAGAGGCTTTTGCCCGGATGTTTCTCATATTGTTGTGGCGGGGGAAAGCTGGGCCGCTGCGCAAACTTCTTCGGGTATTACTTTACGGATAGCCGAAGAAGTTAGTGCAAGAATCGCCAAAGCGAACTCCGAAGGAGGTTGGCCGAAGTTCTGGTTTACAGAGGAAGGGTCAGAATTGATAGCTGCAAACGATCCAACCATTTAAAACCGATTTATCATCACAAAAGGCTTCCCACCCCTCACCCACTTTCCGTGATAGAATCAATTGGTACCCTCACGAATTGATTTTGTATTGATTTCAAGGCTTACACCTAAGAGCGGGCCGGGCAGGCAGGCAGGCGCAGGCACAGCTTATTTTTGTCTTTCTCTTTCTCTTGCTCTGTGTCTTTCTCTTCATCTTTTTTTATTCCTCGTTATCTTCCTCTTTCTCTGGCTCTTCCTCTTTCTCTGTCTCTTTCTCTTCCTCTTTATCTTTCTCTGTCTCTTCCATTGTCTTTTTCTCGTTTTCCTATCTCCTCCTCCTTCTCTTTCTCTCCCTTTTTCTCGTCCGCTTTTCTCTGCCTCTGTGTCTTTCTCTTCCGCATTCTCTTCCTTTCTCTCTGTCTCTCTCTTCCTTTTTACTCTTTCTCTTTATCTTTTTTGGAAGAAGAGAAGGAGAGCAAGCAGAAGCAACAAATGCTGATAATGCAATACTACTCGGTGAGCATATCTCGCACCACGGGTCTTTGAAAACGACCTCACATCCAGAAACGCAACAATCTTGAAATTATTTGTTGATCCACCTTACATAATTTCGAGCAACTTCGACCATGCCCGCGGTGGGTCGGTGGTTGGTCGGCGGCTCGGCCATCCCGAGCCTACCTCTGGGCGGTGCCAGGGCCTGCCTGCCCCGACTTAGGGAGGACCACCCCACTTAAGGATCACTCGAGTGATTCCAGATTAGTGTTCGATAGTGTTCGAGTATTTCCACGCAAGGCTTGCAGAGAGTGCACCGTCGTGGTCATTCCGTTACGTGGTGGAATGAGCAAGATATTCCTTTGCGTTGGCTCCCACTTCTCAAGGGTTGTTTTGTAGGAGGAGTGCGGCAACTGAGCTGCGACCTAGAAAATGCATTTTGCAAGTTCTCGCTTGGTTTCCTGCTGCCACTGGGCGTGCAAGCTTGGATTTGCACTCGAAACTTCCCGCAGTGATGGTGGGCTGGCCATTCCAAGTCGTCCTTAGGTCTCGGGGTTTCTTGTTGGGCGGTTGCACTTGAAGGCATGTTTCAGTTGGGTCAGGTCGGGTGTGATTGGCCTCCAGCTGGAAGTGGGCTGTCACTGCTGGTTGGTGTAGCCTGTTGCCTTCCACTGCAAAAAGCTCTTTGCGCTTGCTGCTTGGGTTTTGGTAGTGTGCGAGGATTATGGGTTCATGTCGTTGAGAGAGGTGCATCGAAGTCTTCAAATAATGTTCCAGCAATTTTGTGACTTTGTTTTTTGTTTCTTGCCGCTTGTTTGTGGAGAGGTTTATCAGAATGGAAATCATGGACGAGGGAGACGGAAGGCTGCGCCTTGAGCTTGGCATTTTTTGGAATGAACTTGCTGCTTTTTGCAGGTGAACGGTCTATTAAGTAGGGTTGAAGCCCTCGAGCAGATTCAGAAATCGCCTGGCTCTCGACCCCAGAGTCGATGCTTGTCTCTTTCAAAACTGAATTGTCCAGGCTGGATGACAAGACTCTCACAGTAAGGCCTGTTCGCACACCGATTCAGACTTCAACATTTTTATTCCTATTTGCCAGGGAGTGTATGCCAGCCCTGAGAGTTATGGGTGGGCACCCCAGAATTGCTAGCGCCTGATCAAGCTTTTGAACTCTAGATATCTGAACGTATTTATATACAAATTGAGACCAAACAGATTCAAATGCCACGCGCCCAGGTGAGAGAAGTCTTTGGCAACATGGCATCAACTTGCACACTCCTGATCTTTTTGCTGCACTGTTAGCTTATGAGAGCTTTTCCTGTGTGCGTAACTTAACTAAGGCTGGCCAGCATTGCATCCAGAGGTTCGAACAACATTGAAACACAAATCACTTCATTTCTGCTATTCCATTTCGATTTATTTGCGACCAAGAGATTCCCAAAGTCATGGGTTCTGGAACCCCGTATGATCTGATATATTTGGGACACTTTTTGGTTTATGTTTCGGGTAATTGAAGCATAGTCAAACGCCAACTTTGATTGCTTTGCACCAGGCTTACAACCAGATCAATTTATGTTCAACAAACTGATCAGTCTTTGCACCAAGAACAAGGTGGGTTTTGGCAAGGTTATGGGGTTGAGTGTTGGCACTGCAGCACTGCCACTCCAGTCTTGCAGTGCCAGGCAGCATTGCCAGCCTCTCAGCATTTGTTTCTGGCATTTTCTGGCTGTGCGCTCCAAAGCCTCCAATTCCAAGGCCTTCTTTGGAGCTGCTTGGAGATATGGTCAAGCGCAGAATCTACCCAGATGTGCAAGCTTGTCAGAGTCTGATTGAGGGTCCCTTGTAAGCTTCGCTGATTCACCTGAAAGACCAGGCAATATGGTCATTGGTGCACTCGCGCCCAGCGGGTTATGGGAGGAGGCACATGATCATTGTGGAATTAGCGACAGGGTGGTTCGCTGATTCTTCTGATGCTGAAAGAAGCACGGAGGCTCTTGAGGTGTTACAGTCGATGAAGAGATATCAAGCAGAGCCTGACACAGCTGGATTCTCATCAACTGGGATTCAGAGACGGAGTTTATATATGGGTCACGTATGCGGATTTAAAAACGAAACGGACCTGACTTCTCTTTCATCCGCAGTGTGTTTGGCTTCAGCTATGCCAGTGAGCCCTCCCGGAGCGGGAGGGCCACATCCACCAGCGGATTGTGAGTGCCGTTTGTGCCGAACATTCCGCAAGGTGGCATCCCTGGTGTTCGGGGCTGAGTCGAACCAGGTATTCAGAGACCGTTGCCAACCCTACTTCGAGGGATTGTACACACAACTACTTGAGATTGCCCTGGAAGTGCGGGGTACTGCGGCCTCCAGCTCAGGCGAGGCTGCAAATTCAGGGCAGGTGAGGCCCAGAGGCCCACCACCTGCCGCTCCGGCTGGTCAGCCGGCTGAAGATCCAGTGGGGCGTGGCGACCAAGTGAAGAGAGAAGAGACCCCTGGCCAGGCGGGGGTGAAGCAAGAGGAGCAAGAAGTTGCACCAGTAGTGGCCCCACATCAGAAGAGGGGACCATCTGCGAAACCTACAACCAAGAGCTCAGAGGAGGCGGACGCAGAAGGAGGTACTTCGGCTGGATCGCGGCCGGAGGTCGAGACTGAGGAGCGCGAAGAGTTTGAGCCCAAGGCCAGGAAGTTACCACCTCTCCCTCGCCAACGGAGGGGGGGCTACGACCAAGGAGATAGCCCAAGGCGCCGGAGGCGGCGTGAACGATCGGGCAAACGCCGGCGTGACGTCTCTCGGACGCCCGGCCGTGAGCAAGAGCTGCATCCCAAGGCGGCTCCGAGCAGTCGACGGCCGCGAACGCCTTCGCGAAGCCCGCCAAGTGTCCACACCCCGGAGGACCGGTCATCCAGCGGCGGTGCACCTCGAGGAGACACAACAAGGTTCCGAGGCACTTCATTGGAGCTGGCTTCAGGGCAAGAAGACGAGGAGACACCACACACGCTCCCCGCTGCAGAGGAGTCGGAGGAGGCAGTCGAGCTCCCGGAGGAGGAGGTCCCGGAGTTGGAGGCACCAGAGCCGAACTCCCCTCCCACGAAGGGAAAGGGGAGAGGAAAGGGCAAGGGCTCCAAAGGCAAGAAGGGCAAGAAGTCAAAGCCCAAAAAGAAGAATCGAGGCCTCAAGAAGACGTGGAGGAACATCGAATTCTACGCCAACAAGCGCCGTGACCCTACATGGCGCCGAAGCGGGCAATGAGACGACCTGCAGCCGCCCCAAAGAGAGCCCGGGTGAGGGCGAGGCCAGCGGCGCTAGACGCCGACGACGACTGGGAGAAGCCATCGGAGGTGAATGTGCGGGAGTTGAACTCCTGGCCAGCAATTTACATACAGGGGCTATACTGGGACAACAACGCCGAGGTGATCGGAGAGATGATATCCCTGGAAGTCGGGGAGGATGGCACGCTGTTGACCGTGAAGGCTCATGGGACAACGTCGGAGGAGTTGCTGAGGCTATTGTCAGGGAAGGCTTCGAAGCTGCTGCAAGTCCACCTTTGCGACGAGCCCTGCAGTCATTTGACCTGGAAGGAGGGGTTGATCCATGCGCAGAGGCTCAAGCGTTGTCATTTCGAGGACCATGCATGGAGCAGGAATGCCGAAGTGAGCGTCCGAGAAGCCGAGAGGGACGAGCTGGCGATCCTCAGAAGGGAAGCTGCCGAACGAGGAAAAAGAGTAGGAGTCAGTTTGGGGGCTCCTGGTGCAGCCGCGGAGGAGGCGGCTCGGCGAGGCCGACAAGAAGAAGAAGAAGAAGAAGCGGAAGAAGGCAAAGGAGCGAATGGTGCCTGTCAAAAGCCTCGAGTCGCTTTTTGCGACGACCGGCCTCGACCCCAGAGAGGAGGTCCGGCGCAGGCTTCGCAGGAGGGCCAAGCGCCTGGGGCGAAAAGCCCGAGCCAGGAAGAGTTCGTCAGGCTCCAACTCGAGCAGCTCTTCAAGTGGAACCTCGACGGAGGAAGAAGGCCCGCCCGAGGAGTTGTTCGCCCCGATATCGGCGCCGCAGCGCATCTGGCGCCGGTATCCTGGCGTTCTCACATCGACGATGATTTTAGAGGCACAAAGGGTGATGTTTCTTCAACTTGGAGCAGGCCTTCACGAAGCGGAATCTCAGAGCCTTCGTCCAATGGTCCCAATACTGCCGGCAACACCTCATGGCAGGCATGGCTCCACCAGTGGCTCGAGAAGCATTGCACTGGTCCGCCGTCCTGGACTTGCTCTTGGAGGGACGTGTGGCCAGTGCGATGGATGTGATGACCCAGAGACTGAAAAGTCTCGAAGGGTTGAGCAAGTCGATGCGACCGGATCTTCTTCGACAGCTGGAGTTGTTGCCCCTGGACCGCGGGGGTCTGGCGACGTCAACGGAAGTGCAAATGAACCACGAGGCGAAAGTGCTCCAGAAGTCCACCAATCGCCCATGGGAGGAGAGATCCAAAGGAAAAGAAAAGGGGGAGAAAGGAAAATGGAAGGGTGGCAAGAGCGAGAACAAGTCCATCGACCACGACAAGAAGAAGGAGAAGGGAGACGGAAAGAAGAAATCGTGACTTACGAGATGGGCGGGAGTCCACGGGGCAGCCAAAGGGCGGCCCTGGTAAAGGCTCCTGGAGACTATGAAAGGCAGTGCATGCACGGGGCCAACTCCGAGATCGTGAGTGATGGCGTTGGTCAAGAATTCAATAGACCTGGTAAGATGGCGACGCTGCACGAGGGTGAGCCATTGGACCCTATGATCATCAATTCTCCTGGACGAGTTGCAGAGTCGAGGCGGGAGGAAACCACACCTGGCGAATGTCAAGAGTTGGAGGACTCCACCATTGCCGCAATCTTTACAAGGGCAGTTGAGGTGTTGAGAAAGGACGGGCAGCAACATTCACGACGCTCCAACACGGAGCTCGATCACGGGCCTCAATGCCCACCGTTCCCGTTACGGATACGAACGGAAGGCTGGGGTGCGAGATTGGGCTTCCCCCACCTGCCCAAGTACGACATGCTGGTGACCGGGACGATGGCGGCGCTCAATCATTTGGCTGGATTTGAGGGCTCCCTGGAACCGTTGCCGGATGAAGCGGCCTCTTCGACTTTGTCACCTGAGACAAGTGTTCGTTCGCTTGCAGAAAAAAGACTTGCAGCTCTCGTCGTTCGCAATCGCATGTGGGAGGTTCCATAATGTTCTTTGTCCTTTAGTGATTTTTTCATGAGGCGCAAGGTTGACTATTGTGGGGAGGAAGTCAAAGTGGCTCAGAGTGTAACGTGGGCAGCTGTGAGTGAATCACTTCCAGAAGGTGTAGGAAGTTTACCACTCACGGAGTTTTGCACTTTGGGCACGAAGGGATATGTGGATGATTTCGAGAAGTATCTATTGCCGAAGGACGTACAGATGAGGGTCAAACCACCGCGTGTCATGATCAGTGAGAGTGAATGGCGCAACGTCTGCCAAGGGCTGATTGAGAAGAGGGTGTGCGAGGTATGGCCTGTGACCCAACTTCACCATATAAACGGGGCTCCATTGCTTAACGGGATGTTTGCAGTAGGCAAGGGCGAGTTCAAGTCAGGCATCGAGACTCAGCGCCTGATCATGAATCTAGTGCCAGTCAACCAGTTATGCAAACCGCTTCAAGGTGACGTGGGAACCCTTCCTGCGGTCTCAGGCCTTAGTGGTTTTCTCCTGGGGACGGGGGAAGTCGCCCTCCTATCATCTGAAGACATCAAGTGTTTTTTCTACCTGTTCTCCATTCCTGATCCCTGGAAGAAGTACATGGGTTTCAACAAGGCAGTCCCAGCAGATCTGAAGGAGTTCGTGGGACAGGACTGCGTCTTGGTCTCGCGAGTATTGCCGATGGGATTCCTGAACTCGGTCAGCGTCGCACAACACATTCACCGCAACGTGGTTCGTTGGGCAGCGCAATCAGGTGATCCCCCAGTAGGAGCGGAGAAAGAACTACGAAAGGACCGGGTCATGAGCTCAGCTGCGGACTTGTATCGGGTTTATTTGGACAATTTTGATGCCCTGGAGAAGGTGGACGCCGAACTAGCGGGGCAGATCAAGGGTACAGTAAAGCCACAGGTGGAAACCCTACGGGAGATGTACCTTGAGCGTGGCTTGCCACGGCGCCCCAAAAAGGCAGCCGAGAGAGTGACTCTGGGAGAGTTGCAGGGGGCACTTCTGGACGGCGAGGCGGGCTATGCCATGCCAAAGCCACAGAAGGTTATTCAGTATTGCAAGCTGGGCTTTGAACTTTTGGTTCGGGGGCACTCCACGCTACGTGAACTGCAGGTGGTCTGTGGGGGTTTCGTGTATCTGGCTATGTTTCGTCGACGGGGTCTTTGAGCACATGAAACGGTTCGAAGGCGAGGCGCCGGTGGTTCGTCTAGGGCTTCCCTACCAAGTCAAGGTTGAGATCGCCAGGTTTATTCTCTTGACCTCCCTCGCTCAGATGGAGTTTCGTTCGCCGGTAGATGGTGAAGTGACCTGTTCAGATGCTTCGACGCTCGGAGGTGGACTCTGCGCCTCCAAAGGGTTGACCAGTTATGGCATGAGCGCAGTCACTTGTCCAGCACGAGGTGATCTTCCAGAAGAGCATGACATTGTACAAGTGTTGTCCGTGGGTCTATTCGACGGGATAGCCGCGCTACGAGTAGCGTGTGATGTCCTGGGGCTGCCAATGGCAGGCCATGTGAGCATTGAAAAGGATAGTAAATGCAGGCGCGTGGTGGAGAGTTTCTTCCCTGAGACAGAGTTCTTTGAGGACGTGTGTGCATTCGAGGAAGAGCATGTCAAGGCCCTCGCGCTCAAGTTTAGCAATGTGGGACTAGTCCTTGTGGGGGCTGGACCTCCACGTCAGGGAGTCAGTGGGTTAAACGCTGACCGCCTGGGGGCGCTACGGGATGAGCGCAGCTGTCTCTTCCAGGAAGTCCCTAGGATTACAGCATTGTTCAAACGGGTATTTTATTGGGCGCAGGTACATGAGCTTGTCGAAAACGTGGCGTCCATGTCAAGTAGTGACCGGGCAATCATGAGCGAGGCATTTCAGAGGACCCCTTGCAGAGTTGACGCCAAAGGGATATCCCTATGCGCCAGGCCAAGGCTGTACTGGACAACGTGGGAGTGTTCAGAGGCTTTGGGCGTCTCCCGGGTTGCAGGAGACGGCGAAGGTTGGGAGGCGTATGACAAAATTGTGCTGGAGGCGGAGGTGGATGGCAAGGCTTTGTTGCTGCCAGGTTGGAGCATACAAGACGGTTGTCACTTGCCCACGTTTACCACCTCACGGCCACGGAACACTCCTGGGCGGAGACCAGCGGGAGTTGAACAGTGCTCGGAGCATGAGTTGCAGCGGTGGTATGATGACTTCTACAGGTTCCCGCCTTACCAATATAGGGACAGCCATGGCCTCTGGAGCAAAAAAGGTGAGTGGCGGAGGCCATCTGCCCAAGAAAGGGAAGCATGTATGAGATTCCCTGTCGGTTATACCAAACATTGCGTGGTGAAAGCTGAACAACAGGGTGAAAGCTATGAGGACGCCCGCGTGTCGCTCATAGGCAACAGTTGGCATGTTGGGGTAGTAGCGTGGTTGCTTGGACAACTCACCCAGCCGTTAGGAGTTGGGCCCAAGATGACACTACAGGATATTGTTGATGCTATCACTCCTGGCAAAGCGCGAGATTTCCCATCTATGTTGATGCGGCCACCTCATCAAGGACGGCTGACAGTTGCTCAGCTGGGTGCAGAGGAGAGGCTGGTGGCGAAGTGTTTGGGCCTAGCGTCCAGTAAAGGAGAAGACTTGTTGGTGCATGCGGTGAGCGATCCTGCCCGTCGTTATTTCAGATTACGCGCAAGCGTCCCTGGCCGACTGTGGCATTGGCGTGAGATCTCCGGCTGGAGGTGGAAGCTGGCAGGTGAGCACATCAACGTTCTGGAGTTGCGGGCAATTCTCACTAGTGTCAAGTGGAAGGTAAGCAGGTCCAAGAAGTTAGGTGTACGTTTCCTTCACCTCACGGACAGCTTGGTGTGCCTACACGCGCTGACTCGGGGTCGGAGCTCGAGTCGGAAATTGAGACCCATCCTCATGAGGCTTAATGCATTGCTGTTGGCGGCTGACCTCCATCCCCTTTGGGGATACATACATACCTCGCAAAACCCGGCCGACCGGCCCAGCCGGCGGCCCGTCCGTCGCCGATGGGGAAAGTAGGTAAGAAGGTTTTGGAAGGTCAGACCAAACAGCAGAGGCAAGCACAGAGGAAAGAGCTAGGCACACTTCGAAGTCTCACCGTTTCCACAAAGACAAGCCATAGGTATCCGAGCAAAGTTTTATGATTTTCTGCGTGAGAACTCTCTAGAGATCCCCCGCCGACGGGAGCAATTTGACAGTCTCCTGGCGGAATACATAGAACACCTGGTCTGAGGGGGAAGGACGCGGGCTGGCGGCCGATACGGTAGCCGGCCTGCAGGACGCAGATCCAAAGCTGAAAGGACAACTTCAGCTAACCTGGAGACTTTTAAAGACATGGAATGTCAATGAAGTCCCGAACCGGGCACCACCGCTGACAGAGGCCGCGCTTGAGGCGATGGTCGGCTGGAGCTTTTTTCACGGCCATTTCGGATTCGGTGTTTCGCTCCTGGTGGGTTTTTATGGAATGCTGCGAACAGGCGAATTGACAACCTTGCGGAGCTCTCACGTTTTCATGAAGACAGCTACTGCCCCTGCTGTCCTTAGTCTAGGCCTGACTAAGAGTGGTAAGCGTGTAGGAGCCTCGGAGTCAGTCACCTTGACGGTAGCAGTCGCCCTGCGGTGGTTATGGGTCTGGAAGCAGAGTGTAAAACCACAGGCCCTTTTTGTCCCTTCGGCCTCAGCCTGGCGTAGGCTGTTCTCAGAATGCCTGAAAGCACTGCAGTTGACCCTCTTTGAGTTTCGACCCTACTCGTTGCGTAGAGGGGGCGCTACTTGGTGGTTCACCAAGCACGGTTCATTCGATAAGTTGATGGTAGCTGGAAGGTGGCAAGCTGCCAAAACTGCCCGAATTTATTTGAACCACGGCATGGCAGTGCTGGCGGACATGAGACTTCCCCAAAAATCCTTGTTGCCCTTCGTTCGAGTTTTTCATAACCAAGCGGCACCTCCACACTTGAGCTCGCGGGCGCGCCGCAGAAAAAGGGGGACGTGGAAGGGGGGTCTTTCTTTGCCACTTTTTTCGAAAAAAGCCCCAGCTTGAAGGTTTCGGCTAGGCGAAATGCTTCAAGGGGGGCAAGGGGGGCTTTCCCTTCTCTCTGGTTAGGCGAGAGTTGGGAAAGCTGGGCTCCTTATGACCTTGGACAGGTCAAACCTGGACGGTTCGGTCTGGAGAAAGACCACACTGGTAGGATTCCTGAATCTTTTTTGTGATTAACTGCGGAGCGTTGTGAAAAGAATCGACCGTGAGTTTTTGGGTCACGTATGCGGATTTAAAAACGAAACGGACCTGACTTCTCTTTCATCCCCAGTGTGTTTGGCTTCAGCCCCGCCCCTCCCAGCCCAAGGCTGAAGGAAGGGGGGTCTTTCTTTGCAACTTTTTTTCGAAAAAAGCCACAGCTTGAAGGTTTCGGCTAGGCGAAATGCTTCAAGGGGGACAAGGGGGGCTTTCCCTTCTCTCTGGTTAGGCGAGAGTTGGGAAAGCTGGGCTCCTTATGACCTTGGACAGGTCAAACCTGGACGGTTCGGTCTGGAGAAAGACCACACGGGTAGGATTCCTGAATCTTTTTTGTGACTAACTGCGGAGCGTTGTGAAAAGAATCGACCGTGAGTTTTTATATATATATATATAAGCTACCCCAGGGCTTGTGTGCAGTAGATGTTGGAGGAGAGTCCGATTTCAACTTGAAAGCCTGGCTGAGATTTCTGTGAACTCTGCTATTGCTGCCTGCGCTGGGGGCAGCAGATGGGTGGAGGCGCACTGCGTTTTTTGGTTCCCGATGAAATTGCAAGAGAACAATCCCAAACACACTAGGCGATCCAGCTGCTTGGTGAAGGCCAGTATCATGCTGAGGAGCTCCAGAGACACAGCACTTTAGTTCGCTGTGTCCGCCTTGACTGAGGCATTTAAACAGTGGCCCCGATGTCTGGACCTACGGATCAACCATCCGTGCCTGTGAGGCCTTGACATGTGGGGCTTATCAGAGTCTTCCCACCAAATCTCTCGTTGATGCATCATTACAGGCTAAATGGATTCTGGTGTTGCAACTCCTCGACGAAATGCAAGCGAGAAAAATACAGCCGAATGAGGCATGCTGGTTTTGCTCTTCCACTTTGCTTAGTCGGCTTGTGCCGTTGATGGCTTCTATCATCTATCGGTCAAAACATTGGTGTGCCTAGAGGTGATCTCAGCCTCCGCCATCAACGCCTGTGCAAAAAGCTCTCCCGCCAGATGCTCAAACGAACCGCAGCTAATTAAGCCTTCCAAAAAAGCACTCTTTGCTTTGAATTCGACAGTCATTTGCAGTTTTTTTGTGCTCTCCATTTATGGTCTATTTGGACCGCATGACTGCAAGAAGAAGCTCTGTAAACCTTCTGGTTCTGCAAGTGCAAGGAATCCAGCATTGAGATTTTCCGCAGCTTGAAGCAGAAAGGGGTAAGGTGCTTTCATAGTTGTTGTTGCAGTATGCATCTTGTTTCCGGAGTCAGTGGCAGGCAGAACACCCTGTCATACCAGGCAGCTTTGAGCGCGAACTGGCCTTGGAAACGGATAGGCTTCTGCAGCCAGTCACACTCTGTCAGCATATTTTTTTGCTACCACCATTTTGCATAAGGTGCCATGTTGATAAATATCTGTGGTCTTGGTCCTTGTGGCTGCCCAAGTGGTCGAAACGTTGTTTGAGCTTCCAATCAACTTTATTTCATCGGAGAACCCTGTTCAGGTTGTACTTGGAGGAAATGAAAGCACATGGAATCAAGATCGACATTGGAATTCTCAATGCAGTGATGGGTGCGTGCAGCGAGCTTAGTTCAGCAACTTGTTTCGATCCATTCTGACACGAGTCGGAAACTCCATCAGCTGTCCCGAAGAAATTATCTGCAGAGCACATATACATCTACGGTAGCGTGTATCTACAAGTACAAAGTATATTTGACATGTTCTTTTGGTTCCTCCCTCTCTCTCTGTCCCCTCTGTTTGTAGGATAGGGCCTGCAAGACAGAGCGCACGTCGGTTTGCCGAGAGCACCTTAGTGCTTTTGCAGGCCAAAATGCGCACTACTGGGGCCATTTGCAGATCTCACCTCAGACGTGGCACATTGCATATCCCAAATGGTGCACTTTGGAACTGAAAATAGAGCTCGCCGAGGAAGCAAGATGCAAACATGGTTCAGAGAGTTCTTAACGTGCTGAACCTGGTGTTGAAATCAAACTGTTTTCTCAGCGTTTAGATTTTCAGCTCTGGATGTCAGGAAGTATACTATTTGCGACTCGTGCCTAACATTGTCACCTATAGCCACATCATGGCAGCAGCCAAGCAGGCCACGCAAAGTCAAGACAAACTTGTGGATGCACCCCATGATCTCTGCGTAGCTAGACCATACAATTTTTCTCTTTATCTCAGGCAGGAGACTGGGAAAGAGTGCTTCAGCTTCTCAATGAAGCGTCTCCTCCTCAGTAGGAAGCTACTAGGAACAATAAGCTACTAGGAAAAAGTGCCTCGCTACTAGGAGCAAGGGCCTTACTAGTAGTAACAAGAAGCTACTAGGACCTGCCACTTCGCTGTTTGGAGCCACCCCCACTGGGGTTCAAATTGAGACCGCCAAGTGGGTTTAGTTCGCCCAGCATGGATTGCACATATGCATCGAAAAGGCATCAAACTATTTAAGGGCTGCCGCCCCTGCCGCCGACCCCGGATTCTCAGGTCCGGCTTTTCCTCCACTGGTTGGCATTGCGAGGGTTTTTCGAACAGGGGTTTCAGTCGTCCTTTTAAAGGTTGCTCTTCTGGAATCGTCGTTTCTTTCCGGTGTCGAGGTCGGTGCCCGTGCGGAGCGTTTCATTGCCTGCTCTCTGGATTGTTTGCTAGCATTTTCCACCACTAACCAGCCTCCCAAAAAGCATCTGAAACCACCCCTTTGCCACGGCTTTAACCCATTGAGTTCTGCTCCAAACGAGCCCCAATTCCTCGGACGTTCGATGTCAAACGGACGCTCTGGATTCCTAGAAAAAAGACAATTTGCTAGCATTTTCCACCACTACCCAGCCTCCCAAAAGCATCTGAAACCACCCCTTCGCCACGGCTTTAACCCATTGAGTTCAGCTCCAAACGAGCCCCAATTCCTCGGACGTTCGGTGTCAAACGGACGCTCTGGATTCCTAGAAAAAAGACCATTTGCTAGCATTTTCCACCACTAACCAGCCTCCCAAAAAGCCTCTGAAACCACCCCTTCGCCACGGCTTTAACCCATTGAGTTCTGCTC